GGATACCAGAAATTTTCACATAGAATGTGATTCTTTTGAAATTGATTACAAATAGAACTCTTTTCTTCATTCTTCTAATCTTTAATTGGGGTGTGCGCATGCATATGAAAAAACGTGCTTGTGTTCTTAAAGGCTTTTGAGCATTGGCCATGCTTTTGACAGTATTAGGTAAAACTATTAAACTAAAGGAAAGATAGGTGCTTGCCAGTCTCAGAATGCAGCACATCCTTAATAGGCCATCTGTGAATATTTGATGGAGAATGAAAAAGCACTCCAGCCAGAATGAAGATCCAAAGGGATCTCAGTCACAACACTGGGTTTCAATCAACTCAAAAGGCTCATTTGTTGCCTAGTGACAAATGTATGCTAGCTGTTTATACATCATTTAAGCCATGAATAATCATCTTGCTAAGGAAGCAAAATTATGACTCTAGGACTTTCTTCATCATGAGAAACATATTTCATTTTAAGTCTTATATTCATATGAAAAGTTACTTTAGAAAAAGGTGGCAAAAACAATAAATACCCACTATGAGTAATTTTGGGTCTTTTTCCATTTAAACTAACAGAGAATGATTAAAATTCTCTATGTAAATTCATTGCCAACTGAGGCTGTTTTGCTCAGTAGGCTTCAAAATTGTAGCTGGTCTTGCAGAAAGCCTTACTGCCACTTGTAAAACTCCTTCCGAGACAAAAGATCTCTTGTTCTGGCAAAAATTAAAGCCTAAAAGAATTGTCCCTTGCTCTCACAGGTTATTGAATTACAGCACTATTTATACAAACTAGTCATCAAACAGTTAAATTGTAAAACTCAGGCTGGTCTGGCTGTCTCCCAGGGTTTATTGGCAGTCCTTGGCACTCTTTAGGGGCAGTGACGAATACTGCACATGAGGGACAGAAAGCAACCTTAGAGACAGGTGTGTTTGATTAATGGGTGGGGAGGAGGAATACAATCGACAGCTTCCCAATCCATGACAAACTATGAGGAGCAACTTTCACCACTAAAAGATCAGAATAGCAAAAAGGACTGGGGGCAGGACAGCACCTGCTGGAAAAGATACCCTGCCTCAATGACTAGTGTAACACAAGCAGAGGCTTAGAACAGAATTAAATACGCTGTGTTAGAATATAAGTGGAAATCCTGAATCCCTTCTTAAGGAAGCATACAAGTCTAAATACTTTCAGCATTTCCTCTTTAAAACTAACATAAAAGTATAGTAATCAGCCCAGAAGAAAATACTGGATCACAAGAAAAATATAAGGAGAATGAAGAAAGCATAGTAACAAAGTAAGGATCAGGAAGAAATGCTTTCCTAATTCCTAAGGAGGGAAGCAAGATAAAATATTTTAGTATGAACACTGGGATCATACCACAAATCAAGGCTACAAATGATATTTAGAATTTCCTGGATGTATACAAACATACTAGTGTATGTGCATTAGGTATATATGTACAAATATGTGTACACATGTAAATGCATTGCACATTCTTTTCAACTAACCTCTGTATCATTCTTCCAAAATGCTTTGGAGTAATAATAATAGAAACTATTTAAACATAGACTAATTCAACTAACTTTTAACTTTCATTCATTCCCTTGATGGCAAACTAGCCAATAGACTTTACCTAGAAGCCAGATACCAACTGAAAACTTTATGGAGATTATCACAGTCAAGGTGAACAAGGACCACTAGTCTCTTTTGTTACATCAGATTTTCTTTCCTTCTAAAATAAATCTCTAAAATGCAAAGAATTTACTGTAGAGCAAAATAATTTGAGCAATGACAGATATTCTGAATCCCAATAACCATACTTAAAATAGGACCTCAAACCACCTAAACTCTTGGGACAATTGATATTTTCAGATTATTCAAACTTGAAATTCATACTTCTTCATTAATTCTGCACTTCATTCAAGAAATTTTGCTCCCAAATTACTACTTCCAAGTATAATTTACCAATGCACAGAAAATCAAAGATTTTTCTGGAAGATTAGATGTATTACAAATATTGATAGAATTCTAACAATTACAATGGTCCAAATGTGTACATATGTATGTACAAATACACATATACATACATACATTCATATATTTTTAAAGTATAAGTTATAGTCCTCCCCTTGCCAGGTACACACTTCTAGTGTTCAAAAAATATACAAATTGTATTTTTAATTTTAGTGGTGGTTTGTTTTAGAACTATTTCAATTAACTGCATTGTGTTGATACCATAAGACTACTCATTAAAAGATATAATTTTTAAATATATTAATAAATAGAGCCTGATATCAATAGCTCACACCTGTTATCCTACCTACTTGGTTGGCTGAGATTGGGAAGATCATGGTTTGAGGCCAACACAGGCAAAAATTTCATGACACACCATCTCAATCAATAGCTTAGGTGTGGTGGTGTCTATCACCCCAAGCAATTAGGAGGCTAAGATCAGGAGGATTGTGGTTCCAGGCCAGTCTGGGAAAAAAACTTCATGAGACCACATCCCAGTGGAAAAAAGCTGAGCAGGGTGGTGGGTGCCTATCATCCCAGCAAAGATAGGAAGCTTAAAATAGGAGGATTGTAGTCCAGGCTGGCCTGGGCAAAAGCAAGGCCTAGTTCCAGAATAACTAGCGAAAAAAGGCCTGGAGGTCTAGCTCATGCAGTACTATGTCTACTTAAAAAGTGAAATACCCTGAGTTCAAACCCCAGTACCACCCCTCAAAAAAATTAATAAATAGGAAATGAACTGAACAGATAATTCTCAAAAGAAGAAGTATAAATGGCTAATAAATACATAAAGAAACATTCAACATCCTTAGCCATAAAGAAAATGCAAATCAAAATGACAATATGCTTCTATTTCACTCAAGTCAAATGGCTATTATCAAGAAAATAAACAACAATAAATGGTGAGGATGCAGGGAGAAAGGAACCCTCATATGCTGTTGGTGAAAATGCAAACTAGACAACCACTGTGGAAATCAGTATGGAAGTTTCTCAAGAAACTGAAAATAGAACTACTATATGATCCTGATATACCACTCTTGGGCATATATCTGAAGGAATTCAAGTCAACATACAATAGAAGTACATGCACACTTACATTTATAACAGCATTATTTATAACAGCCAAGCTCTAGAATCAGTCTAGGTGCCAAACAACTGATGATTGGATAAAGAAAAGTGGTACATATCTACAGTGGAGTACTATTCAGCAATAAAGAAGAATAAAATTCTGTTATGTGCAGGAAAATATATGGAACTGAAGGTCATATGCTAAGAGAACTAGACCAAGCTCAGAATGACAGACATTGCATATTTTACTCATATGTGAAATCTAAAACAAAAAATTAATAAAAACAGGCTTGCGAAAGGGGGACTACTTGGGAGGGGACCAATGGAATGGGATGGGGGTAAAGGGAAAGGAGAGGGTGACAATGGATGAATATGATAAAAGCATATTATACATATACATATATATATATGTTCATATAAAGCAGCATAATGAAAACCACTAAAAACTGTTGAAAAGGAAGGGGGAGGAAGGAGGTAAGTCAATAAAGAGTAGTACAGGTAAGATGAGACTGGCCAAGCCCATTATATACATGCTTGTAAATATCACAATGATATTCAACAATTAATTTATGCTAATATTTTTTAAAAATAAAATAAATGCAATTGTATTGGAAGAAAACAAAATTGTCTTCATCATGAATACGCAACCAAAGCTGGCTTTCTAAAAATATGAAAGAAATGTAAGGTTTTCTATTTGTTTTACTTTTCTATTGAATCCAAATCCTGAAGGTAATAATTATAGTTGTTACCATACATGAAGTGCTGAGAGAAATCAAAATGTATCCACCTTTAAAATGCATTAGCTAACATTATTCATCCCAGCTGAAGAGAAAAACTCTGCCTAAGCCTTTAGTGATAATGCATTCAAACAATGCTAACTAACTAGGTCAAAGCAACCTAATGGGTTTTTTTAAATGAAAAATTAAAAATTTCTATGGGTTGTTCCTAAAGCAAATTATTTAATGCACAAACACCACCATAATCAATCAAACTTTAAAGCTTCTATTATATAAACTGCTAAAATCTATTTAATTTTTCCATTCCAATGAATTACAAAATCAAGGCCAGAGGAGTGAAATGGTCCTTAATTATTCTGCAGTTGTACAAAAGCAATGTCAATTGTTTTAAATTAATTTTCAAATGTTTATTAAAACATTGTTGGAATCAGTTAACCCCTGAGATTCCTATCATTCAAATATTATAATAGTCCTAATATCTATAGATTTGTTCATTTGTAACTATAATATTAGGTAGAAAGTCTCATCTGCTTTTTGGTCTTTTACATTGTAGAGAAATCATTCTTGATAGCCTAAAAATATCTTCACTTAGTCACAGAAATTTATATATATTCTCCCCTTCCATAGTTTCCAGTAAGGTGTACTGTTTTATTAATACCAGATAATGTCTCAAATAGACTTATAAAAAGCCTAGACATAATATATATGAGCCACTAGTTTTATTGGCAACATTACTAATTTGCACAAAATTCTTAGCAGTTTTTGTAAAATAATGATTTCATATGGCTAGGGATTTTGCAACCAATTAAACTTTCAAAAAAATATCTTAAAGAGACTAGAAGGATTAAAGAAAATGGGAACAGCATATGATTACAAGTCTAATTTGGAGTTTCCACATGAAAGCCAAACAGTCCTCCTAAGGGACAGCTCTTTAACTCATGATGGATTGGGATCACTTTAATTTATGGGCTTATTCCATCTTCTTATTTATGGTGCATTAACCCTTAGAGTCAAAGAACGTGAACTCTTAGTAAGAGTTTGATACTGCATGGAATGATTGCAACTTCTAAGCTATCAATATTGATTTGTGATCTTTAGATGAAATGCATTTTTTTACTCAGATATTTGGCCCTCAAAATATCTCAGAAAAAACAATATAACACATGCATATGCAATATATGTATTGCTTACCTCCGTCAAGTGTGGTGTAGGGTTAAATCCACAGAGATTACATACTTGATTCTTGCATTCAGTGCAAGTATTAAAGTTAGGAGGATCCTGAGAACCTATGTTGAGCTCAGTTTTGCAGAGTGGACAGGCTGATTTTGGTTTGGTGATTTTCTCGGGTTTCTGGGGAGGGACAGCCTTCTGAGACTCCAAGTCTGGAGGTTTGCTATCCTTAACAGGTGGGGGCTTTTTGTCTGTTTCTGTTCTTTTCACCATTGGAACTTCTTCAGCTTTGGACTCTAACTTTTCAGCTACAGGAGCTTTTGTTTCTCTTTTCACAGGTATAACTTTTGCAGATGGTGGTGGGGCCTGACCTGTAGACTTGGGTGGCCCCTGAGAAGTAGGAGGCTGTGAAGGGGAAGGGGCTGGTTTTATTGAGGCTGCTGGCCCACCTTGTGAATGAGGTCCAGGCTGGCCTGCTGTGGAAATTAAGTTTGATGCCTGGCTAAAGATTGATGCTCCAAAGCCAAAGAGTTTCCCAGTCACAGTTTCTTGAGGAGTTGTGGGCTGTGATTTAGGAGCATCAGTAATACTTCCCAGATTCAGACTGAAACGCCTCGACTGCTCCTGAGGCTTTGGGGGCTGTTGAGGTGCAGGGGTGGTTTGGCCAGTGGTAGGTCGTGGGCCAGATGGTATGGGTGACCCTTTTGGCACTGGCTTGGCCTCTGGTTTAGGACTTGTTTTGGTTTGTGCTTTCTTAGGTTCCTCCTTCTTTTGAACTTGGTCAACTTCTTTTTGATCTTTGCTCTCTGAACTAGGCCCACGGAATGAAACAATTTTTGAATCTGATGCAGGTCGTGGCATGGCTTTAGAATCCATTGGGATGACTTTTTCTCCTGTTGGTGGAAAACTCTGTGAGGATTTGGCAGCATCTGTTTTTACAGGAGAGGCTGGTTTCTTTTGGGCCTCTGACAGTACTTGAGAGCTTAGACTATCAGGTTTTCTTGCTGCTGATGATGAAGAGTCAAGGTCTGTGGGTGACTTTTCCATCTGGAGCTGCTTTGGTTTATCATCTTCAGTGGAGGCCTTGGCTTGCTCAGATGGGGGCACAGAAGGCTCTTTGGGAGGGGCTGGCTTGGATGACGCCTCTGCCACAGGAGGCTGTTTGGCCATAACTGGGGCAGGACCATGAAGGGTTGGTTGTTTCACTAGTGGTGGTGGCTTTTTAGACTCAGGTACCTTTGTGATATCCTGCTTGGATGCAGAGTCTTTCTTTGGGGAAGCCTGCTGCGGCTGTGGGGATGACTGGCTGGAGGCCGTTGCAGGAGAAAGAGGTGCAGTCTTCGGTTTGGGTTGTGGTGATGATGGAACCGGAGCCAGTTCATCTCCCAGGGCTCTTTGCATCTGACAGTTTAAACAGAGCCATTCTTTTATCTAGAAATAATATAAAACCATGGTCACTGACATAATAATAATGTGAAAACAAAAATCTTTCAAAACATGTCTGCTCCCTTTTCAAACTCTCATTATTCAAAGTATAACATATAGACAAACTTACTTTAATTTATATTAAAATATAAAAAGTTTAATTATATGAAAACATAACTAATTAACCTCACCATCAAAGCACACTGTGTTTTTGGGAAAGTGAAAAAGTAAAAATTGACATATAGTTTGAAGTTTCTTCCAATGTTAACTGTGTTATTCCATGCTTATGATTTATACAATTTGATTATTCCCAGAAATAGAAAACTATGTGTAGTAAAAATATGAGTTTTAACTTATTAGATTCCACTAATCATTTCTGATATATTTTCTATATTGATGGTATACAAACAGTTTTAGTTATACAACCTACAGTAGGCTTGTCACATTATGAAAACATTACCAATTTCTTAAATTAGCAGAGCATTACTTTCCTCTCCAAGTTGACATACTCAAATATGTGAAAATCAAATTGTTTTCACAATGCTGAATTAGAAAGGGAATATTCTATCCAAATAAAATAAATAAAATTATAAAGACATTCTCTCCAATTATCATAAATAGCATGATTTAAAACAGGAAATATGATTCCTTTGAAAATTTTATGAATATATTTGAAAGAGTAATGGAAGCAAGCAATACACATATTTGACTGGTAATGTGTGTATGTGTGTGTGTGTGTGTAAGAGGGAGAAGGGGGGAGAGGTGTTTATACACAGTCACAACTGCACTTTTCATATTGCATCTATCACGAACACATGGCAAATTTGATACCATGTATATTAGAAGATAACTTGAAAGTACATATACTTAATGTTTATCTTTATTTGTAATATTGTTCATGAAGTTTGCTTATTGAAGAATATTTTAAATAGTACCAAAATAATTTACAATTTCAAATTGTACCATGATTTAATCTTCTTCACCCAAAGTAATCAAGATGAAAAGTTTGGCCATGAAGTTCTTTGTGCAGAATGCTATATGGTAAAAAATAAATAAATGGAGCACAGACACCAAAAAATTTCCCCTAGTACAAAATTATGTTAGGTTGCCAAACAACATTTTTCTCAATTATTCTATTCCATAGGCTTACATGATCATCTCATACTTATGCATCCAGACAAGATAAAAAGAAGAAAAATATAACTAAAAACATAATTCTTTACAAGTACAATAGCTATTTTTCTATAAAATATCTATTATGTGAGATGTGTATTCACCTTAACCAGTTTAAATTTCACACTACTATGGTTACTAACTCTCATTATCATTTATTTCTCTTATTCTTTTTAAAAAGTGTCATAGTCAAAGCAGATGCAAATTTAATCAATATTCTTTCCTTTATTCTATAGAGCTCATGCCACTGAATAAAAGAACTCAAAATCCCTGTCATGATGAAAGCTGTGTTATAGTGAAGAGTCAAAAAAGATGCAAGCAATTTAATGCATATTGCAATTTCTGGATATATATGTAATCTCTATATACATATAGATATATATAATTTAATAATATTGTGATAATTCCTTCTTTCTTTACTCCTACTTTCTCTATATTATTTCTCTGAAATTTTTCTTTGGATGCATTTGGCTTTACCAATAAAAAGAATTTCTTTGCAATGTAAACCTTGTAGCTTCATGTACTTCCTGACATTAGGCCCTAACTTGATCTTTGGACAAATGCAAAATTAGAACATCACTGTGACATATCTAATGTATGATGTCCATCAACAATTGGGAACACACTTTATGCTGTTCTTATTTCAACACAGAATGATTTCTTATAGTTTCTAAGTGTAGATAAATATATCTCTACCTAAACAAAGAAGAGTTAGGAAAAGGAAAGTAGAAAACATGCATCACTGGCCCTTTACACAGAGAATTCTCTTCTTTTAACATGTCCTTTTCATGAACAGACTTCTGTGTCTTATCATTTGTGGACTTTATCTTTTAATGACCAAATTTTTTAACTTGATTAAACACATTAAAGATAATTGATTCTTCCTTGTTCTTCGTCACTGATAGATGCTAGAACAAGGTTGAAATCATTGTCTATAGCAGTCACAATATGAAAAGCTTTTTATCCTCTTAGGATTTTTTTTTTTTAGAAAGCCTCCTTTTTTATTTAACTCTACTGGCAAAATCAATTGGATTTAGAAATTATTTTTTATCTCAGCACTTAACAATCTTATGCTGAAAACATCAGAATTCTCAATTTCCTAATTGACAAAAAAAAAAAAAAACAGAAAGAAGGGAAGGGAAGGGAAGGGAAGAAAGGAAAAGGGAAGGAAAAGGAAAAGGCCTCACTGTACACTGGGCAGATGAAAAGTCTACAACTGGCCCTAGCATTAGCATAATTAACATCATGAGCCATCTCCACTTTGCTGTCATTCCTGTCTTTCTCAATAGACTTAGAGAGAGCATGAGCAGTGTGCTGCTGCACTGTCATCCGTGTTACAAATCTGGTCATATTTTTACATTCTCAATTATTCCCCAAGTCGCTCTGCAGTGCTTATTGAAACATAATTCCCCATTAGTATTCTCAAATTTCCAAAGCCACTCTCCTTCATTTTGCCTTATAGTTGTTAGACATTATTTCCATCAAAAGTAATGTGTTTAAAACAAACAGTGGAAGTGACTGATGCTAAACACTTCTGCCTAAACTTCAATACCTCTCCACTATCTATGAAATAAAGTTAATTTTTATGAGAAATTCAAAATATGTAATTTTGTTGGTATTCTCATGCTAGCACTTCCACAACTCTCTTTCCAGCTCTATAGAGCCCCGAAGAATCTAAGGAAAAAATGGCAAAGACTTCCTCACAGTACTTTTTATTGACCCCACAATCTAACCAAACCTATAAGCACAACAAATATTCACAAATATTTTTTGATTTGAATTGCACAGATCATTTACAAAAATTTAAATGTGCTCTTCAAGCTATAGCATTTCCATATTTACTTTGTCAGTCCCTACTGTTTACCCAGTCTGCACGGCAAGCGCCTGTCATCATTTTCTAGTTGCATACAGCTCTGCTCAGAACCCACTCTGCACCTCTGGCCACAGAAAATATATCACCATTTGATTCAAATTGAAAGGAGTCTCCTAGTTTCCTCATCTGGAGACAATTAGTGCCTTATTTCACTTCCAAAATTAAACCCTTGCCTATAATTCTGAGTAGAGATGCACTTGGTACACTACCACCACTGCCTCTAACACTTGATGCCAATTATACATGATGCCCATGTATATATTACAGTTGCCCTCCTCATGCTGTATGATTGTGTCTTCATTCCACTGTATCTACAAAGGAGAAATCTGGAAGATTTTTTCCTTATCAGTTCCTCCTACTTCCACAAACAATTCATAAACAACTTCCTAGGTCCCCTGTCACAAGTAGTAACCTCCCAATACTACTTTACAACATTCACATCCATTTGACAAATACTGAGAAATGGGACAAATGGTAGCAGAATCACCTACAACTCTATCCATGTGTCTTAGAAGAACTCTTACCTTCAATTTGCAAACATTAAAAGAAAAGAATCTCACTTTATTAAATAGGTATGTCAAGCCTGAATTCTAGATTGTATATGAAAAGCAAGAAAAATAGTCATCTTTTGCTTTCCCCTCCTATAGCCCTACTTACAAAAGGTCCATTAATGAAATTCAAGATATGGAAACACAATTGTTTATTGAGCTACTCTAACTCAATTAGCTCAACGGAAAGGACAAAAGAAAGGAATTATATTATTGTTCATTCATTTGGACAGAAAGGATTTCTGTTCAATCTCAGATCACTGTGTATGTTAATGTAGATCTGAACGAAGTTACTCTAACACACTTCCCTGATTAATGCAATCCTCACGCTTCCTTTTTGTGGAGCATTTGTTATATATCCAAGCTGGGGAAATACACTAGTGTACTTCCACTGACTAAGGCTTTTGCTAGATAATCATAAAGGTCTTATTTAGCTCTTTTAAGAGGCACCCCATACAGTTTAATTGTGAACATCATACACAGAAATTCAATAGTGCCACATTCAAAACCACTGATGACAAAAAATTGTACTATGAATTTTTAGGCATGTGTATTTAATAATAATTCAAGATAACCAACTTGATACATCTAAGTAATGAAATGAATATGTCAATTTGGGGGACCCAGAATGAAAGTATCTTCCTGTTCAGAACTATTATTCGTTTATTTAGTTTCAAAACAGAATGAAAGCATCTCAAAACAGTAACAACAGACTACTTCCACTTCTAACAAACATGAAATCAGCATAAGATATATGATAGAATCTCTGCTCAATTAATTACATAGCAGGTGCACATGAAATAATGGAACATTAAAAGAACAATGGAAAGAATTTACATTTGTTGGATTTTATATTAGGTGTTGAAAAAAAAATTCTTCAATTATGATTTCAATTCTGTCCTTGTACAATACAACCTATTGGGTTCATATTCTTGATTCATCAAAATTAAACTTTTCTGCAAATCATAACATCTAAATGGACCATCTACTTTACCAAGTCAGTATTCTCTCTTACCTGAGCCATGATTTTCAGTCAGTTGTGGACTCCTCTTTAATTTACCTAAATGTAAACCATTCTTTACAAGTCACACTGAATTTTGTCCTTTAAACTTATTTCATCATCAGTTAAGGCAGGCTACTTCTTAACTATTACTACTACACCTAAAAAAATAGCATTTAGAGTCATGTATACAGTGGTTGAAAGTATTTTCAAATTACTTCTTCTTCTCTCATCTTGAGACTTTAAAAAGGACTGACTACTTCTCAGGCTTACTCTTACCTCTATTGCATGCCAAGAATATTTTGGATTTAATTAACCATTCCAAAGCTTTTTTTCCTATTTCTCAACAAATTACCTTGAAGTTCTTATTAAAGTCCTTATATTATTTTGAATTCCAGAGAAACATATAATG